TCCCCCCCCGCAAGCTTTGTCCTGACAGCTGCGCATGCGCGTTATCGAGCGCGCCCGCTAACAGTAATATCATGTGGTCTCCGGTCGCTGTAAGGTACCGCAAGTCCCTCCGGTCTGCAATAGGTTATCGGCGAGCAATGTCTGTTGAGCCTCGAGGCGAATTCGTGCGAATTCCATATTGCGTGTTAACAGCGCCCCGCATCTGAGCGCCCGCAGCCCAGGTGAGGGTTGCGGCGGTGGTTGGTTGCCCGGCGATGAGCCCCCCCATAATTTTTTAAGGGATGGCTTGCGGGGAGCGGGCACGGAGCGCGAGGTGGTGCAGGAAGGTGGTGGTTTTGTTGGGGGTGGTGGTGGTGGTGGTGTTTGTGGTGGGGTCGAGTTCCGAGGGGGGCAGGGATAGCGTGCGCTCGATGAAGGGCGAGATGAAGCGCTCGAGGGTGCGGATGCCGCGCGTGTAGCGGTGCGTGGGGATTAAGGCGCGGAAGGGGCTGGTTGGGGTGGGTTGGGGTTGTTAGTTGGGGTTGTTCAATGCTGTTGGGGTTTCGGAGGAGAGAGAATAAGGGTGGCGTACGCCATGATGGTCAGGAGCATCTGGATTCGCTGGACGTCTTGGAATGCGGATACGAATTCATGTTTCGGGCTGGAAAAAGGTAAGCAACGGGAGATATCAGTATTGGAGGCCGGATGTCTGACTTGTTCAAGCTGTCGACACTCCCGCCCAACAGGAAGTCGGTTGTCACGTCCAGCGTCATGCGGTAAAACAAGTCCATCACGTCCACCGTCTGCCCCGAAGCCGGCAGTTTGCTGATGAGAGTCGTGGCCCACTTGTCAAAGATCTCGAGGTCTCGCACTCGGTCCTTGATGAACATGGGCCGGATTAGGGCCCTGCTCTCAGACCACTTCTGGCCGTCGGTGGTGAAGATAGAATCGCCAAGGAAAGGGCTCCAAGCCTCGTGGAACTGCTCGCCCTTGCCATACTCGCGGAACTTGGTGGTGAGTATCGTCTTGATGTGCTCAGGCTCCCGCGTCATCAGGAACCGCGTCCGGCCTAGGAAGGAAATCTCGACACAGTTGGGGCATTCCGGCGTGGCCCAGTTAAAAATGTCCCGGTAGAAATGATCAAGCCTATTCTTCGTTTGGGCATAGCCGGCCCAGAGGAAAAATCGAAGGCCTGGATTGGTTAACAACAGTACATGTGCTATCGGGTTGAACAATGAGGCCCTCACCCGTCACGGGGTTCGTTGCAAGGACGGGAGCCCGGACGCCGCCCAACTTGCGGATCTTGTAATCAACCAAGAGCTTCCGAGATAGAAAGAAGATGGACAGGCAGCCTAGCACGAGGGCTGACGTATGCAGCAGGCCGAGGTTTATGAGAAACTGGAGCATTTTTAATTATACTGCCCTTCGTAATCTTGAAACTAGCGGTTAACTAGTCATGTTGTGGAGGATCGATAAAAAGCTGAGTCTTAAACGGTAGTTGTGAATTAAAAGGTGACTGAGGTGATTTATGGCGGTGGAAGCTCTGGCTAACGTCCCTCCCATATGATACGTCAGGCTCTTGCATGAATAAAGTCCGTGGTATATGAGCACATGTCAGGGGAATCCAGGGGCCGCGGTTGCGGAGTAACTCCCCTCGCCACTTCTCCGCATCTTGCAACTTGCATCTTGGGGTTGGAAATGGCGGGTACGTATCGGTCGATCTCAAGACATGCCCGGTCCAGCAAAACCCGCCGAAAACTTTAGACAAGACACTTGACTTGTTTAAGACATTGGGTGACTGTGCGCAGGGCAATCGGGGGGTTTGTCGTTGATTTACATAGGTACGAAGACCGTCTCGTCGATGTATTCGAGTCTATTAGCGACAACATGATGATACATACCTAACTTAACATGTTGTCATATACACCAACAAATCAAGAGAGCACCAGTAAATCTACCCCATCTTATATCCCTTGATTTTGTTGACCTAGCGTCGTTTTGGCGTGGACTTGGGGAATGGTATTGGATTTCTGTTGTGCCCATACAACAATACCCGTCCGGTCATCCTTTAGTCAACCCGGCTACACCTATCGGTGATTGATTGTAGAACGGCTCTGGTTAGGGCGGAGATATATCTCTGCTGCCCGGTGCATCTAGTTCGGGGCGGTGATTCATAAGTATACGATATTATAAAGCGAGCAACCAAGCAGTCTCACAAGGAGGTGGACATCGCGAACGAGAGAATGTCGATATCTATATTTGGAGCATGGTAGCACCGAGGCACGCCAAACAACGATACGGGGAGCGGGACAACTTGATAAGAGAGGAGATGGCATGTATCGGAACTTCTTGTTGATTACCCGATTACGCTGAGATAATGGAGGGATCGAAACTTTCGGGGGAGTGAGCTTACTTAGTCCGGAGCTCGTTGCCAGTCCAGCGGACTTGACATGGATACCGAGGTATGCATATAAGGCACTTGGCCCATCTATCCTGGGAACATAGTGGACTTGGGGGCCGAACGGCCATCTCGCTCCTGCACGTGCCCAAGCGAGGTGGCCGGGGACATATAGTGTCAGATCCTTAATTAAGAAGTCTATTCTTATGCTACCGGGTTCCATGGGTTCGTCCTTGCCACAGAAGATGCGATTCTAGGATCCCGTGCATAGCATGTGCCGCGTAGGGCTGAGATTGAAATAAACACCCTTTCGGCTTTTGACGAAACACCCAACTCACCTATACCAACCCACCTAATACCGAGGTAGCTATTGGACTCCTTGTTATTATTCATGACTTGGGGGGTTGGTTCTTTTTGTCTAGTTAGTGGGTAAACTCTAATACCAGCCCTTT